CAGATAATAAAATAATGTTTTGTTATTTTTGTAATCTATGAGAATAAAACTGTCCTAGAGGGCAGCTCAAACATTTTTCCTTTTGAAGAGACAACATTGAGAAGGTGAAACCCACACACCCACCCTGTGGGAGAGGCTGAACTTGGCCCTGAGAGGTGAAACAGAGGGCTGGCAATAAAGTGGTGCTTTGGAGCAGGGAAGAAGGGCACACTTTTTAAGCAGACTCTCAAAGAGACTTTAGTTTTCTGTTCCCAGGGTACACATAGCCTTACCACTCCTCACAGGGGCGATGGGATTATTATTAATGACTATCACCGCTCTGCCTAAGTCGATCTGCCGGTAGGAACCCTCCGAAATGGCTCTGAGGCCATCAGCGGGGGCTCTGGATTCCCGCAGTTTTGCTTTGGTCCCTGGGGGGGGGGAACCTCGGTTTCCAGAGAAAGGTCTCCGAATGGCGTTGATTACCATTCCCGGCATTCATTGCGAAGGATTGAAATCGTTGCTTGCCTGCTTGCTAGCCTGCTTGCCCGCCCGCATCTGGGGATCTGAGTTTGTACAAGATTAAGTACGGGACGACGGCGGGCCTTAAGAAATCCACGACTAGGGTGCCGAGGGGTGGGTCGAGGAGGATATCAGAAAGGTTTTTCCTTGAGGATACCTATCTCGATTCCTCGTGGAGTCAAGACGGCGGGCTAAGTTGGAGGAGGCCAAGACACGGGCTAGGCCGCAGCGCTTGACGAAAAAGGCGGGAACAGATTCCTGAGGGAAAATTTCTATGACACCCTATGGTTTTAAGGTGAAATGTTAACAGGCCTTGGCCGGCAGGGCCCGGACCGGATGAAGATCTACCCTGAATGCCGAACCAAACCTATGGAAAACAAGGGCTTGCCATCCATACCGATTTGCGATTCAACAGGAACCGTCGCGAGAGCTAAAGAAAGTGACCGAGAAGTCCCGCTTGCTTTTCCTTCATTGTAAGGGCCGCATTTCCCCGCGCCTTGAAGGCGTCTTTCTCCGTCCTGTTCCTCTCCCCCAAATCTTGCCGCCTAGGGAAACGGCCGGCCTCCCGGAGAGTTCGCGTCCCCGTTCGAGTTTCTTGTCGTCTATGGTCCTTGTCAGGACCTTACACATCATAAACCGTTTCGGTGGGTCCGTCATTACTGTCTCTCGATCCGGGGGCAAAAACGTTCGCTTTCACTTGAGAAAGCTGTATTGGACGCCAGCGCTTTTAACGGGAACACCGTTCGCTTTTCAGCTCCTATCTCAGGACCGATGAAACGGCCCGTGTGAGGACGTCAATTTAGCTTTTTTGAACGTGCGAAAACCTTATCCCGCTTTTTCTTGCTTCCCCCCACCAAGCGAACACTTTACTCCGGTTTGAATTCAGTCTCATTTCCAACGTTGGAGACTCGTCGAGGCCGGTTTATCTCTGGTGGGAAGTACGGTTTGTTTCATGCGCCCATAATCGGCAGCCCTCGGCTCCCCAACCTCCCCTTCATGCTAACCGGCAACTATTCTTTCATCAATATTCCTTATTATTGTGATTCATTACCCCCACAAATCCATGTGTTTCTTATTAAGTTGCCTCGTCCCTCAAGCCACATCACACACAACAGTACGAAGCGCTGCTTTGAAAATACGCCTCTGAATGAAAGGTGGTTGGAAATTCTGCTAAACATTTAATCGATCGCCGTCCTTAACGCTATGACCACCCTCATTTAACGTGTCCCAAAGGCGAAGATCACAGGGAAAGTGATCGGGATTTTTCTCTCAAGGGACGATGATCGGTTATCTTTCGGGCTTTATTTTATAGTGAAAATAGACCAAATAATAACCAACATTAACGTTAATTAATTTGGAAATTAAGTTAGCACGATATCCTTGTTGATTTCCTCTAAATATGAGTAGGGACTCCTACTAGAGAGATTACGCCTTCCTTGATGTTAACACAATTGAGTCGGGGAAGAAATCCCTGGTTTTCAGTGGCCATTCTCGTCTCCATCAAATGGTAGCAATCACGGACCCCAAGCATCTGGTTTAAAGATTCAGACACAAGGACTACAATCAGCTGATTTCGCGGCGCACAGCTATTAGAGGCGTCCAACCGCGCAAATGGTTATTCAGAACAGATCCAAGCCAGGTGTCGGGGATATTTCCTTATGAGAGGCTCTCCTTCCCCTCCTTGTTTGCCCAAATCATCATCCCGAAACACAAAGGGAAAAGTGGCGGGTAATAGACATCTTCTGGTGCAGGTGAATATTTGGCTATTGCCGACCTTTACCGAGGCTATTCATGGGCTCTGCCCGGCTTTGCCTTTCGCCGAATTGCCCGCTGGAAAATGAGCGCGCGTAAAGCTCACTATGCTGTCCCATCTCTCTCAGCTTGAAAATGATCCCTTTGGACTCACCCTGAAACGCTCCATTGGTTAGGATGACATTTTTTTTTTAAAAAGGTCGATCGGAATCGGGATCACTTATTTATTCTCCCTTGACATAAAAAGGGGTCGTTATGTAGGTGCTGGGGCTCCCCTCTTCGAGCGGTTCTACCCCAAAAGCCTCGCTTTTCTACTTCTACCTTTCTATTTATATTTGAAGTGCTCACCTGAGGAAGAAACCTACTTGCCGCCCATTTGCCCTAGAAAGGAAAGAAAGAAGACATACAGACAAATCAGTGATTGAAACCACTTTGGCTCCAGGGCCTGCATTTCCCATCTTCCTAGCTTGATTTTAATGAAGCGCCAACTCCATTCCCCTGGAGATTGGTCACAAGAACTGGACTGCAAATTGATCAATAAGCAAACAAGGCCAATGCGATTGTGTGAGCAAGGGTGAAACGGATGGGAGCTCCTTTTCGAGTTCTTAAGTCATGTTGGAGATGGGCAGAAAGAAAATATATGCTTGTCCTTTGTCAACGCATTTCTGAAAAAAGCACTATAGAGAAAAAGGCTCCCAGACAACATGGACTAAATTTTCTGTAGTTGTAAAATTGATCAGTTTATTTGCGAACCCCTAGTCCCTAATCTATCCTGGGCACCTAGTTGGGAGGCAATTGAATAACTGACTTTACAGAGTCTTCCGATGTTCCTGCTCCTATAGAGAAGGGGAAATTCAGTAAAATTATGTTGGACTATGGGACCTGGCTAATTATCTAACAGTGAGTGAAGCCAGAAAACAAGGTAGACAGGAGGATCTCTTTGCTCTTCCGGTGATGGATGGCTTATTAGCATAACCTCAACCTCCATCGTTTTTTTTTCTCTAGGTCCAAACACAACCAGATTTCCAATCTTTTTAAATAGATCGAAACGGCTGATTGTGGAAGCGGAACAGTGGGGTAGAGAAAGATAGCGGTGGATTCCCCCACCTCTCCTCCAGAAGTAAACTCACTAAGAAACGCAACAGGGAAAGGCGATCCCGGTGCAAAGACAAAGATGTCGAAAGATACGAGCTTCCGATTCCCCTTGAAAGTCAAGAGCTGCTAAAGTTTTTGGTGGTGGTGGGGAGTGTTACAACATAAGTACAGGATAAAAGCTCGTCGGTAGTAGCTTGCAGGATGCTGAAATAAGTGCAACTCCAGCTATTCCTTTTTGTATTGGTCGTAGCCCAACCAGATTTGATCGATTTGAATAACGGGGACATTAAAGTGATCAGCACATTTTAAGAAGATAGTGGTTAGACGGAGGAGGAGATGGATGGGGAGGAATGAAAGCACATCTCTGGCAATAAAGAGAGCTTCCAAGTTCTAAATAATTTTCTGGAAAATAGAATGTGGCTTCGAAATGTATATTTAGGACTACTTTTATATATATCTTTATATTTCAGATCGCTAATCACTAACTTTAAAAAGCTGGTTTGTTTTTCGTGTCCAAGCAGAGGCGTTTTTCAGGACTGAAAAGACAAGACAGTTGGGGCCACAGTAAAGGATGTTTTTACAAGGAGGGAGGGAGCAGGCGGAGGAAAGATAGAGAGAGATAATTCTATTTTCACTTTCCTTATCGCTAATATATTCTCCCAGAAGAACCGCCTAAGCAAACACTTGCTTTCCATTTTAACCACTTCTGTAACGCATAATGAGAACGAATCCGGGATAAGCTATCCATGAATTCCATGGGCCTATTAAATGAGACTAACAAAACGTGTTAGCGGGTGGTTCTCAGAAGTTCAAGGCCGAAGACTCGAGCTGTCTATCTGGAAAGGGGGAGAGCTTTTTTGGGGGATGCTAAATATGTGATTACTGTGCTCTTCCGAGGCATTTGGGCAGGGCAGGAGAAAGGGAGCAAAAACAGAATTAGGAATCAACCTTTGCCACGAGATTAGAAAGCAACTACGCAAATAAATGGTCTTTTCTGCCTCCAACTTCCCTCCAGATTTTCACTGTTTTTTTTTCTTTCTGAAAGAGATACGTAATTTTGAAATAAATTCTTTCCCAATTCCAGGAAATTGCTTCTAAGTCATGCTTCTTCAGTTACTAAAGAAACTGCTAAGTTATAAAAGTAATATATTAACCATATTTTAGTTTTGTTTTAAATCACCGGCAAAACTATCAAATTGATAGTAGTGGACTGTTAATCCCAGAACGGGATTAACAGCGTGAGAATCCTTGAGAGGCCATTTGCAAGTCTCCTTCTCCCACGCGCAATCAGACAGTGGGCGGCACACTTCTCCTTTCGGAGGCTGAGGTTTGGCGATGCCCTTTCCTTCCTAAGCGGCCGATCGCCTCCGTTGCTTCCCATCGCGGAGCCCATGGACTTCCACTTCAGCATATGGATACAGAAGGAAGCCCTGAATTGCCACCGTTCTGCTTTGCAAAGGAAGAAGAGAAAGGGGATATACCCGCGCCCAGCTTTAAGACCTCGAGAACTGGACGGATACACCGAACAGAGGCGCACCAGGAATTCCCAGCCCCAGAGGGCCATGCCCAAGGAGGCCGTTATAAGCAACCCGCCAAGGCTGCTTCCCCAAGGACCTCTTGCCCCACCAGCCCCGACCGAACGGGGGACTCACCGAAGCAAGAAAGCTGCAGGGCTCCGTTGTGGCCGCTGGTGTCCTGCAGCTTGAGGTTGCCGCTCGGGGGGCTTTTGCAAGAGCCGCGCTGCCCGTAGAGCGGCGGCGGCGGCTGCAAGTGGTACTTGTTAAAGGCGGCGGCGGTGTTGGTGGTGGAAGAGGCGGCGGCGGCGGTCGGGAGCGCTTGTGGCTGCTGCGCGCCGCTGCCGTCCAGAGACGGACATTCCGGCTGGCTGTAGCGACTCCGGCGCTTGGGGCTGTTGTTGCTGCTGCCGCTGCTACCACCGCCGCCCCCGCCGCTGTCTCCAAAGCTTTGTCCTTTGCTGGCCAGGAAAGCAGAGCTGAATTTGTCGCTGCTGCCGGGAAATACCCTAAAAGGCGAGGAGCCGTCGACGCTGCCTTGCGAGGCGGCGTTGTAGAAGGAATCCATGGTAGCAGCCGACGGATCGCAGAACGACACGCAACTCTCAGCATTCATGCCTAAAATTAAAAGGCCCCGGCAGCAGTGTCCTCATGCAACGCCAGCGAGCCTTTCTCTGGCTTCCCCCCCCTTCCTCCCCCCCCCGCACGCTCATGCACACATACACACTCACCGACACACGCAGCCACACACCCGCACACAGACGGCTGGGCTAGCCAGCACTAAGCAGAGTCAGATGTTCTCCGGAGCTGAGCAGATCCGTCCCACCCCACCCACCCCCTCGACCCCCAGTAAAAGGGGAAAGGGGCTCACCAAGAGGGGAGGGAGGAGAGAGAGAAGGAGGGATTCTTCCGAAGGAACTCTTCCTTCAGCCCCTCTTCTCTCCTTCCCCAGGTTTTCCTCCTTCTCCTTCTCCTCCCCTCGGGCCCTCGAGCCAAGAAATCGACTCTTTCGGCCGGCGCTGCCCAATCCAGCCATGCAAAGAACGGCAGGCGGGAAGGGGAAGCCGGGGAAGAAAAAAAAGGGCAGGCTTTCTTGTTTGTTGCTTTTGCGTTATTTGTTTGTTTTCAAATAACCATTAGAAAGCAATACAATATAGAAGCCAGGAGGCCACATGGCGGTGATGCAATTGGGGCTGCCGGCTTAGATATTGCGCGGGGCGGAAGAGCCGGCCGACTCCGAGACGTCCCTCCGGGCATTCCTGGGTCGATTCCTCCATCCCTCTTTCCTCCCTTCTTCTGAGCTGTAGCCCGGCAGCTCTTTTGAGTTTGCTGACCGGGAAGAATGACGGTCAACGTTGGGGGTCATTTGGCCAGTTTTCTTAATCAGCCTACCGACTTACTGGCTTTAATCGCTCTCTTTCCCAACTCTGGTTGGGATGGCATGTGGAAAACAGTCGGGGAACAGGTATACATTCAACTGGAGGAGCCTTCAAGAGAAAAGAAGAAAGCTTCATCGGTTGATTGTCCGCCTGGATCGAATTTTAGTTAATAAAGGGGCACAATTTATAGAATTTAAAGGCGGAGGTGTCTTCCCTGCTATCCCCTTCCATCAATCCAAATAGGCAAATATTTCCCGTTAGTGGTTTTTCTTTAACAAATGTTTGGATGCCGGAAAGGGATTTCCCCCGCCGCTTTCCGAGGTGCTTTGGAGTTTGACGTTTTGGGGGAGACCCACTTCTCCAGGCCTCCGAAATAGATCCAGGGGATAAAAAATATATATATATCGCGACTCCCCCCCCCACTTTAACTCCTGCTGCCCCTTTACGCTCCATTCTCTCCATCTGTAATCTCTCTTTTTCCATTCCGACATCTGGTTTCCATTGCATCTCTCTCTCTCTCTTTCTGTCTCTACCTTGAAGTTTTCAGTAATAAAGATATTACGCAAACGGGACCCGCGACTTCTCGGTCAAAAGCACCCTTAACCCTTTCTCTTCGCGCGGCCTTTGCTACACTTATTTCACCTCACCAGGGAGGGAGCTCCATCTACTCCGAGGTCGTTTTTTAAAAAACGAGCCCGGTTATTTAAAAACGAGGGCGGAGGTAGAGCTCGAGCCGAGCCCCGGAAAGGAGGTGAAAAAAGAAAAAGTATGGTCCAGGTGGCAAAAGTGTGGCGAGCCCTGCTCTGGGAGAGAAGCGGGAATCGCATAGTTGATTCAAACCCATCTGTCGAGGCTGACCGAAGGGAACCAAATTTTTCGGAAGCTTCGGGAATTTAACCCGATTTGGGATCTTAAGAGAACCGGACAATAGCGCCTAGGCTCGAAACGGAATTGTACCAAATGGCGCGGAACGGGTCGCAATGCACTTGAACCGACGGAGCTCTTGGTGATCTCTGGTGACAGATCTTAGCAAGAACTCACTGACTTGTTTCGCCTTCCAGCTAAGCACCTGTCTGAACATCTGTGTCTGGCTGGGAAACAACACGTTCGTGTTATCCACTTGAACTGAGTAATTGTTTCATCAGAGGGGTTGGGTGGATCTCCAGATCCGTGTCCTGGTCAGTTTGATGATTCGGATTGGGGCACGGGAAATATCTCTTATGGTGGGCCTTAATAAACAGGCACTGTTGGACAAGCAACACTCGGGAGGGATGCACCTGTAATCCAATTTACTACCCCTCCCTTCCCTTCTTAGGGAGACGTTTTCTTTCTAGGACCTTAGCAAGTGGAGTCGCTATTTCTTGGTTTAAGACCCGTCGGGGTCTAAGGAGCAGCCCCCAAATGTTTAAGGGAAGAGGTTTCAAACAGCCCCAAAGTCCTTCTTGGGCAGAGTTTTGGCCCGGTTTCTGATCCAAGAAAGCTTTCAGCGGCTTTTCTTGCTTTCGTCTCTTTATTACCTGCTTAATTCTTTCCTCGTTTTTGGGGCCTCCCCTCTCCCCCCCCCCCTCTCGCTCACCCTCTCTCGTATGACTTAATAAAAACCAAATCAGCTCCATGGTGCGTTCGAGCCTTTCTAAAAACAACTTCTGCACAGGCCGTGGGGAAATCCTCAGAGAAAAGGCAAGTTGGGCGATCTTGAATTGGGCTGGATTGTGGCGGGGTCGGTCTGGCTGGAGGTGGGAGTCGCTTTTTTTCTTTTTCTTTCTTTTCGGAAGCAGCGGGACTTCCGCAGCTGCGGTAGACTTGGAAGAGGGCAGATTCGGGCCGGCTAGCTTTTTCAGCGGATTTCAAAATCTCTCGACTTCCGATACACTTTTTAAAGGCGAGAGTTTAAGCTCTCTTAGGTACAGCCCAACTACAACGTGCAGCTTGTGAGTTTCGCTGAAAACTGCGAAACTTTCGATTAACCGAACAATTGGTTTTGCTTTGTTTAAATGGGACTTTAGTTTCCATCTTTTATTTTTTCCTGCAGCGGAAGGGGGAAAAGATATCTAAGAAAGAACAGTAAGAAAGTAAGGGAATCCTTAATAATACCAATTTTTTTCTTATCTCAAATACCAAAGTCAGACTTGAGCTTATTTAACGGGACAAGAATATCTGTAAGTGGCGAAGTTCATATTTATACACTTAAAATGCATTGATAAATACATTTGTCTTAAGATTTTTAAGGATAGTGTTTTGAGTCGATTATATTATATTGAGTTGAGCATTATATTCAGGATCTGGGGAGGATGGGAACCCGAGCCCTTGAACAGCGCAAGCAAATGAAGTGGCACAGCACGCCTCGCTATGGGTTCCGTAGTCCGAGGGTGGGGGAGGCCTGTTCCCTTGCTGTGGCTTTTTGCCAGAGCAACGGGGTTTGCCTAAGAAATCCAGCGGAGGTAGGAGTCCCTGGCAAATGAACGTCCTCTTTGGAGAAAGAAGACATTCTAGTGAATGTCACGGCTGTTACACTCGAATTTACTGGTTTCTGTCTAAAATGTGAAGGGTCTTCATCTGCCCTAAACCGGTTTACATGATTGGAACGTAAGAGAATGAAAGCAAAGGGGAGATAGATTGGGCTGGAGGATAACATTAAGGCTCTTGTGATGAGACCCAAATGAGCTAACATCCTCGGCAGGATATTGATTGTAAGAATGACCTATTTTCATTTTCCTGTATCTCCCAGAACATACAAGCAGTCATTTTACTTCTTCGAAATAATAAGTAAAACCTCTTCCTCCTCATTTGTAATGCCTTTTCTTTATTTTTTTAAAATGTTAATTGGCCACCAATACTTCCTTTGGACTGCTTTAAATCCAATGAGCAAGGTTTTTTTTAAGGTGGCACATTAAGATTTCAGGAAATGACACTGGAATGAAATAACGTAATTGGAAGTATAGGCTTCTCTTTTAGATTTTTTTTTTTTAAAAAATATTGCATGGTCAGGTTACTCTTTAAAAATTAAACATTAAAAAGCAATTTCGAAAGAGCTACCATTGTTCAAATATGCCAGCAAGAAGAGCTGCCTAGCAGGCACCCTTGGAAGAGCGGGGCCTGAATTTATGGGGAGCAGCTGTGTCGGAATTTGTGCATTTTAACTGGGACTCGTCCGTCTACTATGCTTCACTAGTTCTCCGAGGATGGAACTTCTACGCAATTGATCTTCAGGATGCACTGCTTGATCGGAAACAAAAACAGCCCAATTTCTTTAAAAACAAAACAACAACACCCCCCCCCCCCGCAGTAGGTTCTTAATCAGATTCAGGATAGTTCGGTCCTCTGCGGGAAAACCATTCAGAGGTTCAAAGAAATTAGAAGAAAATCTACCCCTTTCCAGTGGCACAATTCTCACCTCTGCGTTCATTACCAAAAATGGGGTGGGGTGGGGATGTTTGTGTGAGAAGGCGAGGTCCTCAGTGCGCTTGTTAAGTCTCCTTAAGCCGAAGTGATAGCGCAGGAATTAGGGCGCCCCTGTGCAATTCCCAATTCTTTCAAATGGGACTTGCTCTCCGCTGTTAATGAGTTTACTTTTCGGGCATTGCTATCTAGTCCACATTCATTCAGGAGTAAAACCCTCCCGATTTTACTGGACGTGTAGTTCCTTTAAGTCTGTCTGTCTGTCAGTCTGTCTGTCTGTCTCTCTCTTTTCCTCTCTCTCTCTTTCATCGAGGATATTGTGGAAAGCGATGGAAGAATTAAGCAAGCAAATGGCCGTCACATTCCTGAAATCCATCATCAGTAGCCCAATGGCCAATAGGACTAATACGCTATTGGGAAACCAGTGCTACTTTGGCGAATGAATCTTAAAGCAGCAGTAAGAATTTTAAACGTTATGAGTTGGAAACGACCATCTGGTCGATTTTGTTTTCTATTGGGTTGGGATAAGCCTGCCCTGATTAGTCCTGCTGTGGGAATTTCACAGTTTTCAACATACATCTGCTTATATGTTATTCAGGTAAAATCTCAGCGGTAATCATCACGCTAAAAGTGGTTATCACTGCCTTAGCTTTAAAATAATAATTCAGAATAGAGCTAGAAGAGACCATTTATAGCCCAGATCTTACTACCCCGAACACAGTCGATCGGCCAAATCCGGAATATAAATCCCGCAGAAACAGAACAGAGATCATTATTTTTTCCTAAACTCCGGCTTTGTGGCACTCGGACGCTTCTTCACGGAGCGCCTTTGCGTGAA